ACGTCGCGTCGGCATATTAACATAATCAATGAAGTATTGAAAATGAGTGTGTTGTTGTTATTATTACTGTTGTTGTTGTTGTTGTTTTTATTGCTGCTCTTAAGGGGCTGAACTACTATCTTAGACGGAGCAGGGGAAATACACACAGAAATAGGCATAGTTAATACTTGAATGCACTTACGGAAAATTTTCAATCAGCCGAATGAACTCAACAACAGCAGTTAGGCAATTGTCTGACCCCCTACCGATGAGACCGTTTCATTTATCTGCGCAACATGTGAGCCTTAAACACACACACACACACACACACACAGAAGCCGATCACAAACTGTTATTTGAGTAAAATTGGTTGGCATTGCAGCCAAGTGAAGTGACAAATTAGGCAGACAAGCACTTTGGTTGGCTGGTTGCCTGGTTGCCTGGTTCACTGGACGCACGTGAAGCGCTTTCCAAATATCTATGCACATACATACCCAAATATCTTGAGCAAAGGATATCGCAATGGGAACAACAGGAGTGCCTAATGCGCATATCAATTGCCATGGGAAGAAAATGCTTAGCACTAAACACTTAAACGCCTAAAAAAAATGGAGAACAAAAAAGAGATGAACAAAACAAAACCAAAATGAACTGAACTGAACTGAAAATCCAAAAGTCAAGCATATTGTTCTTATCTGCTGCTGGCACATAAAGTGCCAAAAATTATGGCAAAAGGAAATTGTAAGCCGCCGACGCTGGCAGCGTCGATGTTACGATGAGACGATACTTGCATACGATAAAATAATAGTAGCCAAGTACATCCGATGTTTGGGTGGCATTTACACAATGTAGATCTCATTGCTGCCACTAATCCGCACAGCTGACAGGCTAACTTCAACTGGGCACGATATTCGTGTGGCAACTTTATAGTTCTTGCTTTTTTTAATTTTTATTATTATTATTGTTTTTTGTTCTATATTCTAGAAAACAATATTGCTTTACTTCTAACTCAGGCGCATTCGAGTGAACGGCCTAAAAGTATGCTGTGGTTTATATACATTTTTAGGTGTGCGCTCAAAAGTATGCAACACTTTTATAAACTGTTGCGAGCCATTCTCATAAGAACTGTCGTCTGCTCATAAGCATAAATGATTCAATTCTGATTCAATAAATTTTGTAATGGGCTCGCGCAGTGCATTGAATTAAAATTTTTCATTTTATATCTTATAGTCAAAGTTTCACAATGCACGTTAATCAAAACTGCAATCGTATCTTTTTATACCCTGAACCCATTAAAAATGAGTATAAGGGTTTTGTGCAAACGTATGTAACAGACAGAAGAAAGCATCTCCGACCCTAAAAAGTATATATATTCTTAACCAGGGTCAACAGCCGAGTCGATATAGCCATGCCCGTCTGTCCGTCTGTATGAAGACGCATATCTCAGAGACTGTAAAAGCTAGAGACTTCCAAGTTGGTTCTCGTATACCAGTTTGCCTTATTCTATTGATAACTGCGTCCATTTCTCGTTTATCGATACATTTATATTTCCGATAGCAACAAATGTTAAAATTTTAAAGGCAGAGTCTTCTTATTCATATATAATGCATATGCATATTATTGAACAACTGCCTAAATTTCATCAAGATCGGATAACAAACACCCAAGTTATAGTCGAAAATATATTCTCATATTGATCTCATTTCTATCAGCAGCCGCAAGCATATGCGAGCGCATGTGTGAGAAAGAGATGGCATGATATTCGACGCGAGCGTCAATATGTTTTGTGTGTATTCTGCAGACCCCCGTTACCCCGTTACGTTTGCGTGTACGTATCTATGTATGCATGTCTGAATATTCACGTGTTTGTCGGTAGAGGGCGCTTGCAGACCTGGTCACACTTTGATGCAAAACATTTTTGAGGGAAATTTTCCAAGAAAAAACTAGAATATATTTAACAACAGGGTTCAGGGTATATCGTAGCGAGCTCACTCGACTACATCACTCTTACTTGTTTTAAATTAAATATTGTGTTTTATGTTTTAATATTAACCATAATACATTCAATATTAATATGAATATTATAAATACAAGAACAAGTGGAATTGAATATTATTTATTTTGCTCGTGTTATGGATTCGACTTAAGATATTTAATTGTGATTTAGTTCAACACAAGAACCACTGTGGACATATTAAGAAAAGGCAATAAAGTAAGTTTCTCTGCCGAGAAACATGATTAGAAAGGTTGTCGGTGTCAATGATTCACATTAAATGAGGCACCTGCTCAATCGCGTCACGGGTTACATGCATTTCCGTTAAACCAGTGTTGTGTACGACATTGCGGTCGGTTTCCATAAGAAATATTTATTATACTTATACATATATACCCCTTAATCTCAGTCTATTTTTTCCGAGCACACCCATTTGATGTGTCTGCTCCCAAAGCTTTTTACGTTATTTACTCGGAAGTGGCTCCCCTATAAGTAGGGACACTCCCCCAAGGAGTCCAAATACTAATTCATTCGAAAATCTATCGGTTTATTTATCATAATATTACTTTTTTTTCGAAAGAGGTATTGTAAAATCGTAATCAGCCATTGTCCAAACACTTCCTTGATAGTCCAAAGAATGTATAATTTTTGTTATTAAAATTAATCTTCTTCACTTTTTTGTTAAATAGTTATAAGAAGTCTATTTAGTAGTAGAGAATTAAGAAAAAGAAGTAAAAGTGCTGTAGTCGAGTGAGCTCGACTACGATGTACCCTGAACCCAGTTGTTAATTATATTCGAGTTTTATTGGAAAGTTTTTCTTTACAAAATTTTGCACCAATATGTGAGCAGGGTGTTGTGTGTTTCTTATCCGATCTTGATGAAATTTGGGCAGTTTATTAATAATATGCACATGTACATATATTATGTATTAATTAGAAGATTTTCCCTTTAACATTTTGGCATTTATTGCTATTGGAAATTTGAATGTATCGATAAACGAGAAATGGAGGCAGTTATCGATAAAAATAAAGCAAGCTTGATCTGCGGCTGGTATAAGAGAACCTATATTCCAACTTGGAAGCCTCTAGCTTTTACAGTCTCTGAGATATGCGTGTTCATCATCGACTCGGCTGATCAAGAATATATATACTTTATGGGGTCAGAGATGCTTCCTTCTGCCTGTTACATACGTTGCCACAAAACCATTTACCCATTTTTAATGGGTTCTGGGTATAAAAAGTCAATATTAACATACTTCTTTTTTGCAAAAGAAGTTAGAAAATATATACATTTTTCCTGTGCCCAAACACTTTATTGACATACTGTAAATGTTTTCCTATGTCCCAACACTTTCTTGAGATACTGAATTAGTGTAGTGTTATAATATATCACTGTGTGGCAAGAAATGCATATTAAAATACAATTATCTGACACAAGTAGGTGCATAAATAAATTTATACTTATATTGTATTGATTGGCTCTCATTGAATTGACAAGTTGATACGTGAGGCGCCGTAGAAACTTGCAACTTGATTGTGTGCAACGACTTTGGCATTACCTTTACCGTTAGAAGGCTCAAGTTTAAGTTTGCTGGCGATGCCCCTCTAAACTAATGACGAATAATTTATATGTGAGTACTTTGCAATTCTTTGTATAAAACATGTTCATATGTGATTGTTCTTGATTAAATGGTCACTTAATGTCGACAGCTGCGAATTTCAAGCTAATTATTAGATCGCTAATTGGATATTGGGAAGCTATTTAGTTCTAATTACAATGATAATTATTCACATAGTGGAACTTTAACACAGGCCTACAGGTCATGGTCTACACGTTATTTCATATTTACTGGATAAGCGGTGCTAATGACTCAGACTCAGCACAGATATTTTCAGATTTGTATTGTAAAATCCAACTTAGGGTCAAGGGGCCTGAATAGTATGATTATGATCTTATGATCTCACAACGAAAAAACTAAAGCAGAAATCAGCTAAACTCTAGCATATTGTCTAGAGCGCAGACTTCATTACAATTTTACACATTTTAGAAAGGATTTTGTTCTACGAATAAGAATTTGGTTTCATACTCTTTAGATATATGTTCTATCATTGAGCAGGGTGTCAAACCGAAACGGTATGCAAAGTATAACATTTGCGAACGTTGCGACTGCGAAATACTCATGTTACCTATAAGTAATCTGATAACAGGTGCCACAGAGCTGCCACGAAATACCAATCGGTAAATGAGGTTCCTAGTAATCTATCCTCCAAGTGGCAAAACAAAATATTAGAGGAGGTTTCTAGTAAACTACCTAACAAGTTTGGAAACTATAGCTCTCAAATTGCGGGATATAAAGGCTTTTGCCGTTTTCGGAGGCGAGAGTGGGAGTGGTCCAACAGTTTTTTTTCCCAATTTTTGAAAGGTGCTACCAGCAATATACCTTTCAAATTTGGGGACTCTAGCTTTGAAATTTGGTGAGATCAATAAGACCCTAATTGATTTACACCATCAGGTATCTGTATTTTGTTTTGATTGATCGACCGTACAAGGGAAGAAAATTACAAATTGTGGAAGATATGCCGATATTTGTAGGAGATTACTTGTAAGCTACCTTCCTCTCTATCTTTAAAATTGTGGGAGATATGCGGTTTTATTGATCTACCCTCTCAGAAATATCGCTTTGGTGATTATGGGTGCGGCCATACATTTTTTTAGTGATACTTCAAAGCGGTTATCGGTAAAAAAAAAACTGCAGAAGATATAAGCATTTCCGATTTTTGGGTTTTTAAAAACTTTTGAATTTAGACTCCGACTCTGAATTTTACCTGTTAAGCAATTTTGGGATTATTAAGAAATATATTTCTGATAAATAGAGAAATAATAATAAAAATATGATGTAAAAACCATTTCATCATTTCACGATTTTTCAGAGTGTAGACAAAGAAATTGAATGTTTTTGTTTGTTTTTTTTTTTCTCCAATTTATTATTTATAAATCGGATTATTTATTAAACAGAAGCATGTTAAATTGGTTGCGTTTCATGAATTTGTTTAGAAACCAATATAATCTTTGCATTCGAACATATACAATTATCAGCACTTAAATCGATTTTCAACTTAAAACTCAAATAATAAAAAAAAAGTACATTTATAGAAATGTTCAATAAGACAATAACTGAGCACCCAAAATTGTTGATATTTTAATTAGAAACACAAATAAACATTCCTTCACATTTCGATAATGGATAAGTACACGCGATATTTAAATATATTTTGTTTTCATCAGCTATTTATAAAGCAGGGGCAATGTGCAGTGTGGCTTCGTCAGACTGGGATTGTCCGAGTAGAGTGAAAAGGTTTTGGCATTCAAATCGAAGAGGCCAACAGCAATTGTTTTGACCACCTCATCACATCTGCCATTATCGCGCCACACGCAGAAGCATCCGCCAGTGACGTCACCCAGCATATTGCACACATCATGCTCGCTGACTGGCGGCTTGTAGGTGGCAAAGGCGCGCATGCGCGACACGCTGGACTCGATCATCAGATCATTGGCCTGATCCAAGTGAATGCGCTCAAATCTGTTGAATGGATTGGAATGGAATGCATGAGTACGTGATTTGTGTCTCAAGTGTGTCAAATCGAATGACAACATACTGATTGACATGGTAATTATGAGCGCCCAACGGCACCTCCTTGATGCTCAGATGCGATTCATTCTTTCTGTCCGGATTTGGAGCCATTTCCACATTGTAAAACATTTGCCGTGGATCGCTGCATTAGTTAAGAATATTCATTGACATTGCATTATGCAGGGATATATGAATATGAATGATTGAGGCATACTCACGCCAGAAAGGAGAAGTTAATGGAACAGGCATCGGCGGCACCAACGCCGGCATCTGTGAGCACCCTAAAGGCATCATCCACATTACTTGTGGCAAGCAGGGCCCGTGTCAGGAAATGACGAGCTGTTTGCGATATTGGTTAACTTTCAACTTTAAGCCACAACCAGCAACTAGACAACTTACGTGTTTTACCGCTGCGCAGCAGCTCGGCACTAATAGTATTGATGCTAAAGACTAGACCATGATGATTGTGGCTCATTGTGTAGCCAGGCAGGTGTCCAGCATAGCATAGGGACATAAAATGCTCTTCCTTCACATTATACTTGCCCTGCGGCTTGTCACTAATAATGTGCGCCACCACAAAGTAGTAATGATTCAGCGTCTCCGTGAGAGCATCCTCTGTGTGGCCCAGCAGACGCTAGCCAAAAAAAAAAACCCGAGATTAGGTTCGCCATGTGTGTATAAATATATAAATGATTGGAACACTTACACAATGCTTCTGATTGACAATGATTGAGGAGCAGCCGGTGGGTTGATTCTTGCTGCGTGGCTGATGCTTCACGGCCTGTGGCAAGATCTCGTCCAAGTGCAGTAAAAACAACTGTGGCCGAAGGTCATATTTCAGTTAGTTAATTGGAGTACATACATAATATTAATTTGTAAATTAACTCCAAAATTAATACGTTGTAAAAGCATTCTGTATATTTTACATTTTGATCGCTGACAGAATGATTCATTTATCTTTGCCTAATGATTAATTGTATTTTCTATTATGTTGGCTGCTGTTGCTGGCTGCTTTTAAAGACCATTTAATGAAGTTCAATCAACAAAGAATGTATGTAATTATATTAAATTACACATACGTTTAGGTCATTTACTTTTTAGCATTTTAAATATTTCATTCGCTTTTCAAAATCTGAGCCCATTACAAATTATTCAAAAGGGCATAATGAAGGGGTGCCAATTTTTGTAACGGATCTCAGAGACTATAAGAGCTGGAGACTTCAAATATACATACATAAGTTCTCATATATTATAGAACAACTATAATTTTATAGTTAATCTTAAGGCGATAAACTATTTATCATAAAAATGATTGCTCAGTAATTGTAATAAATTGATTACTTAATGGTAAATGGTAAATGTTAAATGGCAAATGCGAGCAAAATAAATGAACATTCTTGGATTCTGAATGATCAGCTGTTTAATGACATTTTTGTGTACAGGGGCAGTCATAACATTGGCAATGTATGGTCCAATATTCATTTATTTAATTATGCAAATCACATAATAAGCTAATAAAATTCATGCAGCTGATGACAGCCAAGGTTGGTATAATTTTGCGTGCACTTTATTAAACAACTATTCAATCATCAAAATTATAACACATTATTGGCAGGTGTGCATTTCTTACATGAAAGCCGCGTATAGAGATTAAGCGGCAGCTGCTGAAAAACAAGTGGCATGGCTATTAAATCAATAAAAGATGAATGACATTTGAGGAGAAGCCTTTGCACTTGAAATGTTTCTAAGTTCTTGGCCAGACAAATCGCTATTTCTTTTACGTGGCGTCTCCTTCACTTGGCCATTTTTATCAGTTGCCGTCACACATATGGTCAAATTGGCCTACACATTAGTCAACGTAAGAGCATTTAGCGATAGCAACAGCAACAACAACAACAACAACAACAATAACAACAACAATTACAAAACCAATAAAACGGAACTAGTTCAATGACAGTTTGATGCACGGTCGATGCGGTTATTTTGCACTTTTCTGTATTAGTAATTGGCTAAAACTGGTGCGACTAATTGCAAATTAAAGCAATCTTCGAGAGCTCGGTCAATTAATGTACGATCTAATCGAGTCAACCGTAGCACGAGTCTGCAAAATTTCTACAAATCTCTTATTATGCATACAATATATTAAGTATACGCAGCACTTTGATCCGCTGATTTGTCAGAGAATTTTCATGAGGACCGTTAACTGTTAATTGAATTACAATATGGATGAACAATTGCATTTGTTTCCATTTTATAATACTCGTCATATCAGAATGCTAATTATGTTCACAATGCTAATTATAAACGAGTGCGAATGGTAATTACTATTTAATGCCTATTAGAGTATAATTATTTTGTACGAGTACAGATATATATATATATATATATATATATATATATATATATATTTGGTGCTGTCATTGAATTGACAACTTGCAACGTGAGACGCAGCAGAAAGGGGCAAACAAATTCGCAGCACGCAACGCAATTGTGTGCAACGACTTTGGCATTACCTTTACCGTTAGAATAATCAAGTTTAAGTTTGCCTTCGCAACCCCCGCATTCAACAGCTATTTTTTCCAATTTTTTTTGTTTGTTTTTTCATTTCTGTTTTTATAGATAATTGAAACAATTATGTGCTTGTATTTGTTTTAATGGCCACTTAATTTTGCACAGCTGAAGCTCTCAGCTCGAGTGCTTATTATGAACGAGGTGGCTTATGTTGTAGCGGGTGGTCCAAGGGGCGGTGACTCTTTATGGTAAGGTTGCCTGCTAATTGAGTATTGGGTTACATTTGTCGATTTGAATATGGCTCACCTTGTGGAACTCCACCTCGGCACCATCGGCGACGCCCTCCAGTTCCCGTATGTACTGCGGGAAGCTGCCTTTCACAGATTCCAGTGTCTCATTATAGATTTGCCCTGTAACCAGAAAGAAAATCAACCAGAAAAAGAAAAAAATATACATTTAAGAAGAGGCACAAACGAATGATTCACATTAACACATCAATGAGACAGAGACACAAATTTGGAGTACTCACTGCCTTTTGCGGTGCTATACAGCGGCAAGTAGGTCTCGTTCAGTGGCTGAGATAAGATCAGAAAGTTCTTGATCATTGAGCCAAAAGTGCGACCCTGGAAAGCATACATAACTATTATTATTATTTGTACAACTAAAAATGGAAGTGGCTTTCTAAATATTTCATTGGAGTGCCAATGTTTGTCTGCTAATTGACACAGACTACTTATTTATAGCTGTGTTTGGATGCTGATAAAAAAAATGAAAAATGAAAAAGTGTTGTACTTTGCATATATTATATATATATATATATGTATTATATATATATATTGCGACCGTTATCGATCACGACTGATCGCAATGCAAACAAACAAAACGGCCCGCTAAAAACAACAATATGAATAAAAGGCTATTGTTAGACAATATTGAATCTCTTGTAAATGGTCTGCGGGTGGTGGTTGGAGAAGGAGGAGGACTGCCAATGAATGTTGCTATTCAAGGTAAGTTCCCCATATGGGTGGGTCGCCAATTGGCATCGACCGTCTCCCGTCTCAAAGCCGTCACTGAAATGGATTCCGGGCTTGCTTGCTAATTGTTGCCTTGTTTGCCCTTGATATTGGCCATTTGTGCAGTTTTCACTATCAATTCTAATTCCGGTTCGAAACCACACAGCACAGCACCAATGGGACAGCAAACAATTGGGTGTGATCAATGTTTGTGTTGGGTGAAGGTTAAACGGGAACTGGGTCAACAAATACGTACGCAGGCACCTATTTACACGTAGAAAAATTAGTTGCAAATTGAGCATATATTCTTGTTAAAAGTAAAAAACCTATTCAGAGTGAATAGAGCAACAAAATCGTAAACCAAGAACTTTAAATTAAGATTGTTTTTCAGTTTTGTGCTTGCAAATATTTATTTGGAGGGAACAGCCTTAAATTGATAGCTTTCCTCCAATAAACCAAAAAAATAAGTGTAGAAACTTTATTCGCAATTTAATTTTTATATTGTTTTTCTTCACTGTGCACAAGTCGTGACACGCACATACAAATGAGTCCAATTGCCTTTGAGCTTATCGCCACAAGCGTTGCGATTTATCTATATACCAAATATTATATACACATATGCATGTATATATATATATATATGTTCACATCGTCGGCCTGATAAGAAAGCAGAGTATATGCACATATTTACACACAGTATACAAAAGAAATTAAGCACAATAATAGAGTCTGTTAATTAAGCACATCACACTTAAAGTAAGGCAACTTGGATCTAGATTAAACTAGTCAGCGTCTAATAAAAGTGCACAAACTCATAATTCTATAGAGTTCAGAGATATTTTGGATTTAGACTTGGAAAGTATTTGCAATTTTTGCATTAGTCTCTCTTATTTTTGAATTGCTCTATTTGTAAACATTTCAGATTTATTCTTAGTAGAAAAGCTGTTTTTTTTGCTTTAGAAATGATTGTTTGTTGGGCTAGCTAATGCTCTATGCTTTAATTACTCCAATGTATGTTAATGTTAATTACAGATACTATGTTCATATATAACATACATATTTATATATTTGAAATTTCTCAGCTCATTTGGACTTTCTGCTTGAATGGCAATCAGTTCGAATTTGATAATCAGAAAAGCAATTCCATCACATTTGAAATGCAATTGCAGCATTTTAATGAATTATTAAGTCGAGTAAATCGAATCAGTTAATTAGTTAATTATATCTACATAGTTTACTTTCCATTTGTTCTGTTATTTTGAAAATTCCTCGTAAATTTATTTGCATTTACGCGTAGATTTGATTATATTTATCGATAATGAATAAAGTGTAAAATGCATTTCCTAACAGGCCTTTTCAAATGTCGCCTACTCTTCGGTGTAAGTAAATAAATTTGACAAAACTACTGATTTCAAATTTTATCGATGCATCCTAGTAGGCTAGCCTTATAATTCATTTTTCCTTTCAATTGCTTTTAACAAAGTTCAAAAGTTTTTACCCAAATTTAACACATTTCGTACAATTCAGTTATTGGCATTGGCGCAATAAGCGGTTGGTTTTTATAATTAGGTTGGCGTGACTTTGACGAGCGTGTTTTGGAGTTACTTCAAAGGCCAAAGGACAAAGGACGAAGGACGTAGGACGAAGGACGAATACTTACCATATCGAAACCGACCTCGTAGTGAGTGCCACGGGTGTAAAGAACTGGTATCGCCTGACGACGGGGCAATATCCTGCCGGAGGACATGACGCCTGACATTTGGTGGTCGGCGGGACAGGCACACATTTTTTTCGAGTTGTTTCTTCTGATTTATTTACTGTGGTTCGCTAATCAGCTTGCGCACCTCGACACTGCGGAAGTCAAGAAAGATATTTAATGCTCGCGATTTTGATTGTTTTACTAGTGCTCTGCGTCGACTACGAAAATAACAATGACAAAAATATCTAAATAATAGTGTAGCGCGATTTGAGCGATACGTTAAATTATAATTGCAAATGCAACTAACCCACTGAAACAAAACAAAAACAAAAACAAAACAACAAAAAATGTGAAATTGGCAAGTAGTGAAACAAAACACGTCGAAGCAGGTGAGCTAATAATTTATTTAATAACTGTTCACCAGCAAGTGATTTTTGTATTTGGTTCTAATGCGCTTGAAGGTAGAATTCAAACTGAGTTTGCCATGTTTTGGCGGCAGCAATTCGAGGTGCCGAACAACCACAACCACAACAGCAACAATAACAACCAATAACAGACCCAGTGCAAGCAACACGAAGACAGCTGACGAAGCGTCGACGTCAGACAAGCGGCGCGATAACGGACCGTTTGCCGTGTGTTGCACACACACACTCGTATATATATATATATATACATATAAATAAATAAACATATATATATATATAAATACAACAGCAGCAACAAAAACAGACCCAACAACGTTGTTGCGATCCAAGCAGCGACTGCGACTGCGACTGCGACTGCGACTGCGAAGTCGTCGTCTATTCAGCGGTTTAAGCCAAACGAATGCGGTGCGATTCACATTAAATATATTCGCACGATCTAATTTATTTAATATATGTAAATTATATTTATAAAAATTACATTCCTCTGATATATGTAAATATTTATAGCAGCTAAGTGAATATACATATGTCAAATGACAATCAGAATAGCTAATCTTCTTTGTGATATGTTTTTCGAAAATGTTTAAAATTTTCGTTGGGATATTGATTCTTTATATAATTGTACAGTTTTGCAACCCTGGTCATATTCTGCATCGTTTTTGTCTTTATTTCTAAGTCGATTAGATGGCTAATAGGCTTTTCTTTATACATCGTTTTTTTGTTTTTTTTTTTTCTTACCACTTTTTCTGTTCATTTACCTTTGTTTTGCAATTTCAACCTTTATATTCTTTTGTACTCTACAACCAAAGTCGCATAGAGTATTTTGGTTTCTATTCGTTTAAGTTTTTTTCGTACAACACGACAAAGAATGTAAATAGAAGAGTTGAAGCTGTGAAGTGCGCAAACACTAATAGACACAGGGAATCCAGTTCAGATTATTAAGTTAAAACAAAAAATAAAATAAAATAAATATTTAAATAACCTGAATGTAAGGGGAAACCCTAAAACTGTTGTTTGCTTCGGCTAGGTAAGTAACGTTCATTAAATACTTAAAGTGGTTAAAATAAAAAAATGACAACTAGAACCAAATGGTGATAAATTTGACGAATTTCAAGGTAACAACACTTTAAACATTTTTGATGCCGAAACTGGGTATATTTTCCACTGGTCATTCTAATTAACTAAAAGGGGGGGCGGCTTTTGCGTCTGTTCTTGACGTTATTATTGATGCGTCCCAGCTACGTATACGTAATTTAAGAAGGCAAATTTTTGCATACATAATATATATATATTTATATATACATATATATATTCATGTATGTATTTATGTTAACTGACCATGAAAAGCTATCTTATTTATTGGGTTTCCTGCTTTCCAAGGCAACGCTTTCTTGCTGAATTCGGTCCCCTCTCCTTGAATTATATCACTCGGTCAAGTAATCACCTGGTAAACCTATTTGTCAACTACTAATGAACACATCTAGCGACAGGGATAACAATTTCATTTCTATTTAACAACCTGTGCAATGATTAATTTCTGAAAATTGACTCATCTCATCCATAAAAGCAAGATTTTTAAGCTCTCAATTACAAATGTGGCAGTAAAAATGTGGCAGATAAGTTTGTGCCAAATTCAGTGACTTGTGTGTTCGTTAGATGATAATACAATGTACAAGTTATAAAATTAGATCATGATGTGTTTCGATATAGGATCTACAGATGCACATATTTACATATATTTGCACATAGCTGATAATCAGTTTAACCCTGTCAATATACAAATAAAAGTAAGTGAGAGTAAATGTCGTTAAATTATTGTATTATACAAATTATGTCCAACGAGAAATAAGGTGAACATTCCAATTAATCTCATTTTAAAAATATTGTTTATGGTTTTTTTTTTTTTTTTTTTTACTGCAAAAGGTTAACTCCTAACCTTAATTTAATGTATGTTGCGTTAATTTTTCATGGTCAATGTGTGAATAAACATTTTTTAGCGGGTATTTTAATATTGTTTTTAGGCTTGCAACGTATTGAAGGAGATGTCTTCGATCCCAAAAGCTATATAAATTCTTTTCCAGCATCACTTGCCAATTGGTCTGTTCGTCTGTCCAAATTTTTAATCTTATATCCGCCGAACTCCCTCAGCTTTAAAACTATCTTAATAAAACTTTGTGGTTATCCGTCTTTTAGGTTCGGGCTGTTGTGACATCAAACTTTTATATAGCCGTCATGGACAATGGTTAAAAGATTTGTTTTCATATTCATCAAAAAAAAAAAATAAAAATGTAGCCAAGGTATCCAATCTTATTTGTTGATTGCTTATTTGAATTTATAGGCCAGTAGATCAACTATTCTATTGTTTTGATTTTTAGCGAATTAATTGAATCTGCTAGAAGGATTTCTCTATATTCGTATTGGTAGACCTGTTTATTTTCATAAGTTAAGATACATATATCGATTGATTCGAACAAGATCGCAATTAACACACTTTCGATCATATTGTGCGCTTAATTGAGAAGGCCTCTTAAAGGCCGGAATAGTAATTAATTATTTCGTTAACTAGTGCTTGCTATATATGTGTCATCTCTAGTTAACCGATGAGTGATGCGAATTGTTCTGGATATCGTCTGGAAAATATCGATATCGATGTTAGTTGATTAGTTAAGGACCAGTTTACAGATCGGGGAAAAATTTCGCAGCCCAAATTTGCAATATATCCCATTGGTGGAACCTAAAAACGAAAAGGTCTGCTGAGAGGCAATTGTTTAATGAATTCATTTACTCGCCTTCTTGAAGATTAAAATCATTATTTATTCATAATTTACTATTTCCATTTCGACCCCCATTTAACCCCCATAAAAATATAAGAAAGTTCATTCGTTTTGACAGCGTTGAATTGAATCTACACAGGTAACAGTGATATAAAATTGATAACATTGATTTTAGTTTTGCGGTCACTAAACCGGCCGTCAAAATTTCGTCGCGAAATATATCACGACCAGTTTGACACCTGTTTTTTTATATGGAATTTTTCATTATCGATAACTTTTATTTGTATCTGTAAAGTGGCCTTAATATTGTATTGAATATTCATATAAAAAACTCGCATTCATATTCGATATTTGATGCCAAATCAACGATATTGAGTATAAGAAATTAACTTTAAAATGCTATGCTAAAATAATATTTATTTGGTGATCATACTTCACAAAAGCTTTTGTTTATTTCTGAAAATTGTAATGGTCGGCGAATAGATCGATAAGTTATGTTAGCACCACCTTTCTTTCAGAAGATAGAGCGGAATATTCAACGCCACCTAGCGGCCAGGTTATGGTAGTTGAGGGATCACAGCAGAAGTTGAGCCAATCAGCTTCAGACGCCCAAATGATCTCTGGGAGACAATTTGTTTAATAAGTTGGTAAAACTTGAAAAGAAGATAGAAGAAGGGCCAATTTTTAGAGGTCAGTTGAGATTTGGAGGCGAACAAGATGAGAAGTGCGTGCGAGGAAGGAGAATTTATTTAAATAATAATAATAAATAGAATTTATAAATAAAAGTAAAGCTGTGAAAAACTCATACAAGCAAATAAATAAAAATAGCAATAACTGCAAATGTAATGCAACAAACAATATAACATTCGTAACATAGCCAGCAACAACTAAATAAAATGTGCAACATATTTCAAGTATACTGACGAAAATGCACAAGAATAATAAAATAATAATAAAAAGACTCACAATGTGCAGTAAGAACAGTAAAAACGGCAACCAGCAGCAGCAGAGGAAGACGAGCCAGAGCCAGACGTTAGGGACCCGGAGCAGCATTGCCATCCCCTTCCCGGCACTTTGAACAGAGGTGCGCATGCCTAACCCGGCGAAGTAAAGTAAACAAACGATAGCGATGAATTCTGCGAACGCCTGTCATAAATACATTATTCATCATCTACAACAATAAAAGAGAAAAAAAGAAGAATGCCAGTATGAATAAATGTATATTATAAATTGATAAAAAATAAGGACAATTATTTATAAATTTTCGTTTACGCTGCTTGTCCACTCTGTCCCTCCAATACGTATTTATCTTTTAATTTTTGTTGTGCATTATATGCACATCGGTGTCTGAGCGCTGGTGTGTTCATACATATATATATATATGAATAAATAAGTATGAATAAAATATCGGGATGCTTAGCCTAGCAAGAGCCTCTTGACAGGGTAAGATAGATTTTAAGATCCCACACTAGATATATAAATATATATAGATACATATATACAATTATATTAATATATTTATATATATATATATATACATACTTAAATAATCACCACTAAACATATAACTTGCTCTATTCAAATTTTTGATACATCCGCGCGCTGCGTAATAAACGAAGTTGCCAGACTAACGTAAAGTTACGATATAAATATATCGTAAAACAATCGAATGTCTCATAGTACACTTATCGCATAAAATATCGATATTTTGAAAACTATCACTGTGAGCGATGGTCACGCACGTAAATTGTCGAAGATGAGAATCACAGATGCTTACAGCTAGCGCAATGCAATCCTATTCAGATAAATATGTCTTAGTTTGCCGACCTAATGCGAACAGCCTGCTATATGTGAAATTGATAAGTTAACTGACCATCGGCATTGTTGGGTAAATGTATTTATATAAAAATGGAGGAGCCCCCGATTTCGATACTTGAGCTAAAAGCCATAAAGAATGACGAAACAAATCCGCTGTAGACTTCAGGTGAGTTGCCCTGATGATTCAAAAATGTTGGAACACATAAAAGCCATTACTTTATTCATAGACATGGGTAACATAAATCCGGCCATGCTAAGTGCGCACAGCGCCAGCGACGAAGTCGTCTCCAGTGTCAGCAAAACGGACGCCAACAATTTGGAAACGCATCTGTCGAATCAAGAGCTCATTCGGCTGGTGGGCAATCACTCCGTGCTGTACGATAGTCGACATCGGTGATTCAACGGTGACGCCTTCAAGGCGCAACTGTGGCAGCAGATTGCCAGCCAGCCCTCTCTGGAAATGGCCAAATGCCTGAGTACTTGGGCAAAGTTTCGCTACAATTATCAGCTGCATGTGCGACGCTTGCGCAAGTATCGTCGACAACCGCAGTCAACTCGTATCAATACACTGCCACGGCCCACCATGGTGTACGAGGAGGATCTGATGTTTCTCAGATGTTTACAGTCATGTGTCGCACCATCGGCCACTGCGGAGCGAGCAAACCAGCGTGGCAGAGCTGTCGTCTGTGGATGATGATGTGACCATCGTGGCGCCACCCATGGATATCATAGACCTAGATGAGGACAATAACGACCAGTACAAGATTAATCCAGATCAGTAGCGTCTCATTGAGGCAGTGCGCGCCTATCCCCAGCTGTATGATACACACCATGTGCACTATGCCAACAAAAGGCATCGCGGCCTCATTTGGAGTGCCATCGCGAATGAGCTGCATGAGAAGGCGACTAAGTTAATAAAGGTCTGGCTGCTGCTGCAGACGTACTTCGAGTGGGAGCTGATGCAAATGGACGATAGCAATTCTCACTTGATGAAGGAGCTCAGCTTTCGCGGCGTCGTGAATCTGATCAATGTACTGAAAATTATGCCCGAGCTGGACCAGATCGTGAACGGTTATGAAGGCAAGGCATCTAAGTCGCAGCGCTATCATGCGCTCTGGCTGCGCGTCTCGACGCGGGTGAATTGTGGCATTCAGCGCCACCTGGCTGATGCTGCGCAACTTTCATCTGGAGCTGGTCGAGATGCGTAAGGTTGGCTATCAGCTGCAGGACAAATGGTGCTCTCCAATCGACATGGTCGACGAGTTCAGAAGCGCACTGCCATCAAACCTGGTGACAGCCCTCCGCCACCCAAAAAGATCCTGACAGCCAAATACAATCAGCCCTTTGACATTGACAGGGCGGGTATCTCCACCACTAGCACCACCACCGCCGCTACCGCTGGCAATTGTTTATCCGCCTTCGCATCGAGCAGCAAATCTCGTTTCCAATATATCCATTGCCGGCAACAGTAATACTCTGACCATAGCAAGCTCCATGACCAACAGCAGCAGCAGCAGCAACGCCATTACTGCCAGCACCACTCAATTTACCATGTAAACCCATTACGCATTACGGCGGCCTTCAGCCTGGTGCCCAACCCAGCATCACCAATATTAGTCTCAAGGGGTTATCACTGCAGATGCTGGCGACGGTGCAGTTGAGCAGTGGGCGACAGGTGCCACTCGGCCCTGGTCTCCAGGTGCTGATGAATACCAAAAAGAGCCCAGCATATATTAAATACATTAAATAGGCCTTTAAATGGCCATGTCTTCGTAAAAAATTGTCAAATTTCAAAAGATAAGGTATTTTTAGATTTGGCTCGATTTTTCAAATAAAACTGCATTAAAAATTATTTTAATGGATCATAGATTATTTTAATGTTGTCTGCACTTTTTTTTTTGATTTGCAAAAAAAAACGTTTTTTTTTTCATTTTTTTCTTTGGAGATATTCCAAGTTCCATCTGTTCTCCATCACTGCCACGAGGTCAAGCCCCAAGGAAAGCAATTGCTCAAATTCAAATTTTTTTCTTGGATGGAATCAGACTTAAATAGACGGTAAAAAAAATAATAGGAAGAGGATGGATATTAACTTTTTTAAATTTTACTCCTAGGGGACTTGGAGCGACCAAAGCTAGGCTTGAAAAAAACTATAGCATATCTTCAGGCGTGACCAATAATTGTGTACTTGGACAAGCGCATTACAATGTAAAACTCAATTCCAAATGTTGATCATGATAATAATTTATTTCATATTGGAGAACATGTTTTTGAGATACCTTTTAGTTCATTCGAGCTTAGTGATATAAGAAATATGAGAAAATCGAGGAAAAAATACCCCATTAAATTAAAACACCCTCTCATCGAAAGTACCAACAAACAACTAAGAAACATCTTATATATTTTAATAAACGGAATACTATTGGTCAGTTATATGGATTTAATAATAAGAAAATACTAATACCGAATAGTTCTATACATAATAATATATATATGTATATAATTCTATATACATAATAATAATTCTATAATATTGTTATGCAGAATCAAGTCATGTATTGCATTAGTTTGATTTAAATGTGCCCCAGGCTATTAAGTGAGTGAGAAGCCCCACAATCTTATTTATCTCCCAGTGAACACGAGAGAGATACACTCATTAATAATACGGACTGTTGACCAGGACGGAAATTTAGCTCATTTACGTAATGAGATTTAGATTTCTTTGGCTAACAACGCTTCTACAGGAGGTGGTAAACTAAACAACTATTGCATGATTTATCTTTTTGACACGTATCAATATGAGTTGAATTGAATTGTTGTTGGCACTACAACAAGCGTAAGAAAGTATATTTCCTTGAATAAACCTGAAAATCGCATGCTTGAGAATTCTGGTTTGTTTAATGTCAACGAAAAACAACTGACAATTTTAGGCTTAGTTCAATTTGTGTCCCATTTACATTTGTGTAGTTTCATTTGCCCTATGTACAACTCTGTCGTCCTTTTTCCCTTGATGGCGATCATCCTCGATCATCATCATAAAGGCTTGCTGAACTATTTTGTAACTTTTTTTTTGCATCTGCAACTTGGCCGCAAAGCGAAAATCCGCCGTTATTAAAACATTATTATTCTAATAAAAATGCATACAAATTCAATGGGATCGATCGGTTCCCAATTTGTTAAATATGTAACATTGTCAATCATTCCAAATGCATTTTATCTTTTTATTTCCTAAATATATACATATAATACATACATTACAAGTACACACAATAATAACAGACTCAAGAAACCAACAATAATCCATAACCAAAAATATAATAAATGCATAATTTTTTTTAAATTTTAAATTCAATCTGAAGACAATGACGAAATGGTGAGCTGTCGTCATCAGTTTTCGCTGGTTAGAATGGGCCTGGCTTAAAAATTGTTCAACGTTGTTTGTCTTGCCTTGTTGTCTATTTCGCTCTTCAGCGATTTATAAGACCAACTGGCTGAGTTAATTCCTAGGATCGCTTGCATGGTGGATGTTTATTCCTTGTTCGAAATAGGAAAAAACTTTCGACAAATTTATTTGATGTTAGTTGTTTGGATACAACATGCTCAGTCTGACCTTGCATCAAACGCCAGTTCTGCTTGCAACTGAATGAATGCCGTTATAGCGCAACATTTTACGTTAAAGCGAAATGCCGTATCAAGAGTGGCCGTATAGCGAGATATGGTTGTATGTCTATGTATATATGTCTGTGTGTCTGTGTGTATTTTTATGAAGTTATGATGAAATGAGATGTGGTTGTGTGGACACTGAGAGATACAGAGCACCGAGGAGCTAAACAATGAGCAACGAGCACATTTGCTGGCAGAAATATCGGTGTTGCCTCTTTAAGTAAGTTACCACTATTTATCAAAATTTATTAAATTTAACAAAAAAATATAAAAAACGACAAAAATTAGGCAAACATTTGCCGTAGCGTGTGCATATTATTATTATAATTGTATTATATTATATATATTGTATATATATATGTATATATACTATATATGTTTAAAAAATATTACAGCGCTTTGCGAATTGTTTCTCTCTGTGTTGTCCTTATTTCAATAGAGAAAAGCAGGTCAATAAACCAGAACAGCATAAAACAAAAGCTAATTGCAGCTTTTGCAGTGTTGCATGAAACATCGCTAAGGCGAGCTTATTTTATGCCTCTTTCGAAAGAGCTTTTTGGGACAGCAAATTTTATGGTTGCATCTCGAAAGGCATAATTTTTATGGCGGGCGTAATGGTTGTGATCTCCGCTAAACGTACACACGTTCCACACTCAACGAATAATGTTGTTAGGCCTGATGCAATTGAAAACTGCAAAATTAACATTTTGCAACCCAACGAAATGTTATCAACAGTTTAAGCATAGACACGAACCCACATGAATTAACAACGATTTTAAAACTAAAACAATTAAATAATCTCAATTTGCATTTATGGTTAACAAAAAATTGCTGCTTTTGGGATAGAGGCGACAGGAACGCTATAAGACTTTTCTTTACGCATTTCAAATAGAAATGGTTTCTTGCAATTGCAGTTTTGTTACCTTCTCCATCCTAGCCACTTTTCACAATATTCATTAAAAATGATGAACAATAAACATGCCAACATGCGACATGTCCAAGGATTAAGAGTGCAATTTTACTTGTATGCCTGCAGTGAAGAAGAAGATTATTATTATTATGATTATAATTACAATTAGTTTTATCATTATTTTTATTATTATTGTTTACAACTGTTTCCATCAAACCTAATTCTTACACAAATGCGAGAATCATTGTCGGGTTGAGGGTTTTCCATGTACTCCGAGCCAAGGATTTCACATGATCTTGATCTGCTTTAAGGATTCCTCCTCATTGTCAGAACTCTACTGACTACAACTAGTTTAGCTAGGGGACTTCTCTGCCTCCAATATCCTCTCATTTGGCTTGTCTTCCGGATAGCAAGGTGGTATCAATGCTCAGGGAATTCCCTGATTCTGAATGGTCGTATTAGACCAAAGTTCATTTTACTTTACAATAGTGAACCCGTATACAGACAAAAACAATTGTCAGCTTAAAATTAGAAATTAGAGTACCTAAAAACGGAAACTGAGCAATTTCACTGCGGATAGAAACGGAAAAGATTTCCCAAATTGGAGCAAAACTGATGGATAGTTTGTCGCAAGTCGTAATTATTATGTTAGGATTAAATGTTTGTTACTTGGATTCTTATTAAATATAGTAATAATTAATAGTAAATGCTGCCAAAATTATACTTTCTTTTGATTCCCCTTTGACCATTTTAGCTTGTGCTCAAAGAAGTTATAGTAATAATTATATCAAACTCATAACTAAAAAAGTGGGCTTTGCAATAGATGCATCATTATATATATATATCTGTCTATCGGTCTGTCTGTCTGTCTAACAAGCACTCCACTTTCACTTCTGTGTCAAAATGAGTTTGCTTTTAGCTAATATAAATTAGACTTAGTACTGATTAAATTAATGGGTCATCGTTCTACTTTCGGGTGACCTTTCAATTTCGTTGGGCCTGCTGGTGTTTTCTTCTTGTACTGCATTGTTCTTACCATTTCCATTTCCCAACCCATTTCCCAACACATTTCCCAGCCGTTTCCTCGTCAATGCAAAACTCCGACTGAGTGGCATGCTTCGTTCGCTGCTGATGCTGGCCATTGTCAAACGATTTCCTTGCTTTGGCTTCGCGCTTTCCCAAATATTGCTTAATTGCGCTTTTACTTAATTAGAAAAAATACAGCCAATTTAAGAATTTAAGATACTCTCTCTCTCTCTCTCTCTATGAAGCGTTTCAAGAGCCTAAGAGATGGCTGTGAGAAAAATAGAATGTTTAAAGTTTTTATTCAAAGCGATCATCAGCTGATTCTGTCTGAAATCCACATTTGTTGGAGATATTGGATATTTTCTAATTTCCTTTTGTTGTAGATGAGCTTAAGTTTTTTCAATTCCCAATTCGACGTTGCTGTCAACTGCGAAATACTTTGATGCGCTAAGTAATACCAACTGATAACGGGTAGCAAATAATAGGGCAGGTGTAGCCAAGAAATACCTTCCAGGTTTCCCATTCAAATTGTGTTATTGCATGACTGAATAATATTATAGAGAAGGTACGTAGTAATCCGCCTATACTAGATTATTGGGTTTGAAGGGTATTACGAGTAACATGCCTTTCAAATTTGGTGACTATAGCTTTCAGATTTTTAGGGTAGGTGTAGGCGTGGTCTGGAAATGTATAGGACGATCTGTGAAGGAGGTCACCCACAAGTTATCTTCCAAATTGTGGGAGCTATGCGGACTTATCGATGTACACTTTCCGAAATATCGGCATTGGCGATTATGGGCGCAAGTGTGGGCGTGGCCATACAAATTTGTTATCGGTTCTTAAAGACGGCTAACAGTGATACACCTAACAAATTTGAAGGCTCTAACTCAGAAACTGCGAGAGATATAGCCGTTAAATATGGGGCCTGGGGGCGACGGAGGTGGGCGTGGCAACTGGCGATCTTTGAAGACCATCACCAACAACCAACCAAATTTTGTGACTGTAGCCTAATAATTGTAATCGATTTTATCGATTTCACTGCCCAATTCGATACCCGAGTATAAAAGTAAAAGTTGAGAAGCTTTCGGAAATATGCAACTATAAATTTAATAAATGAATTTGAGCACAGCCGTTAAATATACAAATTAATTTGATGGTTAACAAAATCGATAATCGCGGGG